AGGAACATGTGGAATCGTATAAATCCTCGCTGGCTTAGCGTATTGAGGGTCAATCCTACCGCGCTCCGCGTCGCTGAAAGCTATGGCCTTATCACATGTCTTGAGAATTTCTATCACACGTTCTCGCTCCTGTGGGGTCGGATTTCCATTTCCGATATCCATCCCTGGTATTCTCTCTTCCGTTAGGCGTTGTGGCTCCTTTTTCTTTCTTTCTTTGATTTGTCTCGCGATCTCTTCTTCCGATATCCCTTCTAGTGTAGATCGCTCGCGGCCCACCGCCGCTGACTTAACTTTTTGCGCTACTCGTTTGTGTCGTTTGGGTAGCCCCCCATAGGGGGCCGTGCCCTTAAAAAAGACACGGAGACCACACCGCCGAATTCCTCATCTTTCTCCTTTGGGTACGAGTTCCCGTCCACTATTAGCCAATTCCCTAAATCTTCCACCTCCACCATCCGACCTTCTTCTTCTTTGAGCATTGGTCCATATTTCTTCTCGTGAAATCGCACCGCGCGGGTGGAGATAGGCAACGACTTAATCTGCTCACTGGGTCTTGCACCCACAGCGAGAGCTGCTCTGTTCCTTGGGTCCCGAGGCTCCACTGTCTCAATCATTACTCGCGTCCCGTCTGGCTTCTTAATGGACAATGTTTGGCTCCCATCAGGTCTCTCTATCGTCACCGCATGCACGTGGCTCAGCCACGTTCAACCTAAGAGCAGGTCGGAGCTACAGTTCTTGACTTTAAAGACAGGCAGGGTCACTCGTACCCCTTGGACTTCTATGGCTACCTTGTGACAAACCCCAGTGATCCGTTGCTTTCTCCCATCAGCGGTCTCTATCTCGAATAGGTATGACCTATCGAGGCCCAGTCCAACTTGTACCGCCAGATCCTCGTCTATGATGACAGCCTCACTGTCGTTATCAATCACAGCATCGAGTACCGCTCCACCGTTTATAATCGTCTCCACAGCCCCACTACCAAGTATATAAAACTTGTCTGGAGGCACACCTTCCATTCCATCAAGAAGGACTGTCGCAATGTGATCCGCTCTAGCAGTCACCCCCGTTACTGCTACTGTAGAAGCTTCCGCCTTAGGGGTCTGACCCTCCTCCGATAGAGGTATGCGAGTCTTCCGCGTGATCATTTGTAACTCATCACGAGCCGGCTTCGATGCCGCCAGGTACTCCAGGATAGAGCACTGCATGGGTTGCCGAAGGGCCCGCCTCAATGCCTCGACCGTGTCAATCTCGTCCAGCGAGCTCTTCATTAAGAACTTCTTGACTCCCCGCTTTCGCGGCGAAAGGATAACCTCCTCTCCATCGACCCGCTGCCCGTCCTTCTCCGCCATCACGTAATCCGTGTCAGTTTTCTTCGATGTAGACCCTCTCGCCGACTTGGTGGCTGCCACCCTTATGGGTGTGGTCGCCATGTCCCCCTCAAAGGTTATCTTGATGCTCTGGCTCCTGACCGGCTCCATTCCTTTACTCGTCTTTATTCTCCTTGCTTCGACATTCTCCTTCATCGAAGGGAACATCGATACATCTCTGAGATCATCTGCCCACTTGACGTACTTGCGGTCGTCAAGCACGATAAGTCCCTCTTCTATTGCCCGTTTAAGGTCCGGACAATCCCTCTTGATATGATTTTCTCCTCTATAGTAGACGCATGAGTTCCTGGGAGTAGACGCCCTGTCGTCTGCGCCTCTAGACATCGAATTCCTGCCCGTCTTGGGGTCAGGCGACTTGGGATATGGTTCTGATGAGACGCCATATCCCCCTCTCTCATTCCGACCGCGCGGATCGTTGCGCCCGTCTCCTCCAAACCCTCCTTGCTCATACCGCCCTCGCGAATCATCCCGGCGGTCCCCCGAGTTATATCGTCCTCGTGACTCATCGCGTCGGTCTCCTCGGTTGTACCACCCCCGCGACTCGTCGCGCTACTCTCTCGTATCTCCCCCGCGCTCAAGCCGTCCGCGCGACCCATCCTGTCGTTCTCAGTCCCGATCTCCTCTCTCATATCTACTTCCTCTGTAGCCATCTCGACCCGGCCTCTCATATCTGTCGTCCCTATATCCATCTCGGTCCGATCTCTCATATCTGTCGTTCCTATATCCATCTCGTCGGCTCTGTTCTGTCTCCCATCGGCCGCGGAAGTCGCCTCTACCCCGATCAGCCTCATAGCGAGAACTTCGCGGGTAATCATCCAGCCTCCTTGCTCGCATAAACGGCTCGCGATCTTTGAGGTCTCGGTCTATCTCATCGTCCCTACATCGCCATGGCTCATCATCTCTCTCTCTTCCCCTCGTTCGATAATCAATCAGCGTCCGAGGATTTCTATCCTCGACACTCCTCCGGGAATCGTTGTTCCTACGGTCCCAGCGAAGTGAATAGGGTCCTCCAGGTTTGTCCCGGTAGGCCGTGACCCCTGTGGCGGTCACAATCTCTGTAACCTGTCTCGTTAATCCCTTCACCATGTTGGGTATCTCCTTCACTTCCTCACCCACGGCCTCATTCTTCTCCGACCAGGGATAATCCTTGAAATCAGGGCATCCATCAGTGGCATACTCCTTGTAGAGAGAGAAGTCACGTCTCCTCATCCCTCTCCACACCAAGTCCTTGTAATCGTCTGCCTCTGCCTTTATCGCGAGCTTTAGAACTTTTGGGAAATCCAGCCTGTCGCGCGGAAGATCTCTAAGTATACTCTTTTGCTTACCTTTGGACAAGTGTCCGATAAAGATAGTACAACGCTCGACCTCTGAGATCTTCCCCTTCTTCATCAGCACGTCAGAGATCTTTTGGAAACGCATCCCAAATGCCCGTACGCTCTCTTCTTCATCTTGAGTCATTGTTTCAAGGTCCTTGATGGAATACTTGTTATCCTCCAATTTGTAAAGCTCAACAAGGTTCTTCTTGTACGTAGTCCATTTCCCATCCTTCGGTCGAGCTTCCTTAACTTCCCTTCCAAGACTTGGGTCCACATTAAATAGGAAGTTCTCTATAATCTCTTCCTCCGACCACTGACTCCGGCTGGCGTGAAGCTCCCACTTCTCCAGATATTCTGTGATACCATAACCCCTGAAGGTAGGAGGCTCTGAGGCCTTGTGCGTAATAATATAGCGATCCTTGCTCTCGTAAGGGAGCAGATATGACTCCCCTGTCTGGGGGTCAAAGACCCGCCTGGGCGGTGCCCTGTCTCTATCTCTGTCCCTCCAACAGGAATCCCTCAAATTCTCTCTCCAATCGTTTCTGTGCCTATCCGCTATGGTGTTCCTCCGCTCGTAATCGGGGGAGCGTCGTCTCGTCGTCTCTCGTCGTCCGCTCGAGGTACCCGTTCTTAGAGCCTCCTGCGGCTCTGTCGCAACTAGCTCGCCTCTCATGTCGGGCCCTCCGTCATTGGTTTGGTCAGCCCATCCCAGCGGCGCTTCTTGCCTAATACGTTCCTTCAGATCCCTCAGCGCTCGATCGGGCGATGTCCTGTACTCTTCTCCCGCTTCGCCCACAATCGGTTGTGGCCCCATCGTGTCGGATTCTATTGGACCGCCTGAAGACGCAGTTAGGTTTCCTTGCCAACTGTTACAACCCGACCCTATGACAGTCGCTGCAGCCCGGACCTGTGACAATCGCGGCAGCCCGGACCTGTGACAGTCGCGGCAGCCCGGACTTGTTTCTTTCTCACGACTCACGTCCGCCTCCAATCTTAGCTCTCGACTGCCTTGATTACCACCTCCAGCATCCCTTACCGGTCGCTGATCTCGTGTTCTCTCTCTATCCCAAGAATCCCTGTTTCTAAGTAACCTCTCTTTCGGGATCTGTCAACAAGGTCGCGCCTGTCCAGATCCACAGTACGCCCGTGGCAGAACCTCTATCCTTGAGACAGATTGCAATCCCAATCCTAGCCAACGTCTCCTAATCAACACTCCCCAAAAGTCCCCGAGCTTCTCTCTCCGTTCTTTTAGCCCTGTCTGAACCGGTTAGCCCGCTAAAGGCCCTCATACTGCCATCCAAAGTCGCCCATCGACCTCTCTGGCTTCCTCTATTCTTCCAAGAGCTTCCAATTTTTATTTCCTCTACCTTTTGTCTTTAACAGTTACAAGGTCATCTGTCTAACAGTTGAGGTAAGTTAGTGCAATAACGACTTGTAACCTCCTCGCCGACCGCTCCAAGATGTCATAAAATGTCTCAAAGTCCTCATTATCTCCTCCATCGTCTATCGCTTCTAAGGTCTTTATCGTTTCCTTCCAGTACCGGTTGTGAGCGGCTAACACCCTGAGTATTGCTCCATCTATTACTACTCTCCCTAACTCTCCATCTTTCCTAGCTTCGGTTATCTTCAACCTCTCCGCCTCTCTTGTCGTCTCGTACCATGCCCTTATCCTAGACTGCCCTTCGAAAGGTGTCACTTGGAGCACATATTTAATCCTCCGTCCTCCTTCTATTCCAATCCAAAGTCCTGTCCCCCTTGCCTCGCGCAGGGCACGACGGACACACTCTGCCTTGTCAACTATGCACAGTCTGGTATGGAGTTGGAGTTCTACGATCACTAACACCAATGGTCCGTTCAATCTCCCTACCACATGCAATGAGTACTGATCCGTCGTTTGCACTGCTGTCCCGCTCATGTCCTGTCGCTACTTCCCTGCGTTACTTTGTCTTTCGTCGTCTCGCTCTCTGCAGATCGCTCACTAGTTTCTTCGCGTGATACGCTTCTAGCCTTTATCCTCTCCAGAAAGTCTGATCTCCACGCCTGGATAACCTCTCTTTCTTCCCTAAACAGTCTCTCTAACTCTCTCGTCACGAGTTCAGCCCTACGCAACTGGCCCTCGTCTTGACACGACCAGATCTCCCTTAACTTGTCCCCCAACTTCTTTACCTGRTTCAAGAGTGGTYCTTTAACGCGCTTTCTYACTCTTYCGACTGCCTCACTCTCCCCTTCCATACTCAGTCCACATCTTTCTCCAGCTCACCCTCGCACCCTCGCTCTAGCCTCCGCTACCGTCTCATCGTGGTAGTGCTCCGCGCGCATATAACCATGAGACCATATCATCACATCATAGGAAATCGAGGTCTGGAAGGTCACTCGCGCCAGTACATCAGCTCTGCGCTCGTGGATCAAATCCCTAGCTCGTTGTCTGCACTCACTCACCGTCAAGTCCTCGTCTAAGTACGCTCGGAGAACTACTGTCACAATGTATCCTGTGCTTACCAGTTGCTCTTCTACACGCATCACCGTGGGCGTCCTTCCCGGCATTCCCTAAGCTGCGACCTCGAAGAGAAATCTCGCGTCCTCTAGCCCCGCGTAATCGATCTCTGCCCGTCTCCTGCAGTACCTAATCAGATCGATAGGCCACAGACAATCCACCCAGCTCGTAACATCTATGATGTCTTCAAGCGTCTCTCTACTGGGCGGCCCCCACCTCACACAAATGGCGTAGTATACTTCCTTGAAGCGGGGCGCTAAGCCCTCCCAGAGCGCGTAAAGTGTGTGATCCACTGCCCTCTTCAAACGATCCACGCTGCCATAGGTCTGCGCTATAACGAAGGTAGGAACTCCGAATCGCCAATCCTTTCTCGGGTAGAGGGTCGGATGTGGTGGACCGTATACTAAGCAGCTCCTACTTGTCCTCCCTCCAGCGAGTCTCGCCAATTGCTGATTAACGATCACTCAGGCCAACAACTCGCTTCTCCACCAACTCCTGCTCGCCCCTGCGAGCGTTAGCCCTACCTCTAAATCGTGTGTTCTATCCGCTATTAGATGTCCGACCCCTTCTAGATCATGAGTCCTCTCGGGTCGTTCGTCTCGTAGTATCACTGTCCATAGGAAGAGCCCCTCTGCGAGCCACGTTCCCAAGTATCGTATCGGTACTCGCCCAGCGTCTTCTTACGCCACAAGGAGCGGTATGTCGTATCCAACCGCCGTCTCTCTGGGTCCTACCAGCTTCCTCACACTATACGATTCGGACTCCCGTGAGAATACATAAGCTAACCAGGCCACTGAATCATTCCTCATTTCTTCTCCTACTCTCGGTCAGCATCACTCTACTTCCTCCGATACACCCCATCTCTCGACGTTGCTGTTCCTTCTGACAACTCTCGCACTCAGGACCAGTATGGACGAATAGGTTCAGCATCCAGGCTCACTCAACCGTCGCCCTGGTGCGCTCCTCTACCTCCTACGTGCGGACCGCTACTCCTATCCTGGGAAAATGGGCGTCGATAACGTCAATCTCCTCCCTATCAACCTCACTCTCTGGATCGACCCAGTCTGGCTCCCACAGCTCCTCGTCGTCTTCTCGCTCCCAACCCTCGTCGTCAAACTCGTCCTCGACGCGGTATGGAGCCTGTCCTATAGCCTGGTAGTATTCCGTCAGCTGATGGCCGTATATCAGAGGTCGCCCGGCGTCTTCACTCCACCAGCTCCCCCTGTCGTCTGAGAAGAGCCGCCCGATGCAGGTCACGTACTCGGGGCCTACTTGGAGCTCACGGTCCAGCCAATCCCAAACGCACGGAGACTGGGGCCACTCGTCATCTATCGAGCGGATCAGCTTTATAAGCTGAACACTCTCGTCTCCCCAACGAGGCCCACCAGTCGCGAGCGAATAATAGATATAGTCCAGGTCGGCAGGTCTTCTCGCTAGGATTTTGAGATCCTGATAAGCCAGGTATGTCTCGACCACTCCACCAATACCTCCAAAGACACTCTCTACTACGAACGTCGGAACTATCGCCCGCAGGCTCCTAACGCTGTACGGGAAAAACTCGTCCCGTGCTACCACCAGCTCGCCCGTGATATCAAGAGGAGGGCGTCCGTGAAATAGGGTCAACGGGTCGCTCGCGTCCTCCGCTCGGAAAGCAGCCACCTCTTCCCCTAGGTAGCGTAACGCCCTGCTAACTGCGTCACTAGTCCCTGTCTTCGCGAGGCCCACCACGGCCTCCTCGACCGCACCCGGTCCCAAATACAAGTAGGCTCTCACTACGCCCACTCCTTGCCCCGACCGGTGCTCTCTGTACGTCCAAAGCCACACGTCCTTGGACAGGATTATGGACCTCCAGGCGAACTGGCCGTCAGCGTGTCGAATGCTGCGTCCGGGGATCGTGAACTCGACCAGATCCCCCTCTCTGAGTGCAGGGGGCTCTAAGTCCCAGTCAATGGTAGCCCCATAGACCTCTACTTGCACCCGCGGCCACATTCAACTGGCGGCTAGAGAGTGCGCGGCAAGCGGAAGGTGCAGATTAATAACTGAAATTTCGCGTTGCTTTCTCACGCCTCCGAAAACAAGCTAGTAGGTTTACCTGAAACCAGGTTATCGCAACGTCTCTTTCCCTTCTCCTTCTAGGGAATTCTTTTGTATTTTTCAATTATAAATTAAAGAAAATATATTTAGTTAAGTTAAATTTTCTTGCTTAGTTTATATATATTAAGGATCAATACTTTTATAAGCCCTGCCGAGTTTGATGCTTTTTAGGGGTAGAAATAAAATTTTGCGAATTTACTAAAATTTCGGCAGCGTTTCGCCTCCCCCCGTTGGGATGGGGTTCAGGACTATTGTCCCTAGACAAATGCTACCTACCCAGAACTAAAGCCAAATGAAACAAGAGGAAGGCCGCTGAAAAAAACAAATTTCTAACGTATTTTTAATTAATTTCTCTAATCGCTTTCAATATATATATATATAAAAAAGGATTAATAATTTAAATTAATTTTTTTTTGCGGAGTTCCGGCTGCATTTTGGCTCCCCCCCCGTTGAGGTAGGGTTCAGCAAAGTACCACCCTAATCACAAAGTCGAAATACAGTCGACTCCTCTTTCTTGCAGAATTTTAGATAATTACTATGATTTAAATTGATTTTAAATGATAAATTATTACTTAAAACAAATTTACAACTTAAATTATTTAATAAAGTAAAATTCCCAATATTGATTAATTTCAATTTAGTCAACTAGATTTATACAAATTTTCTCATCACAGGTCGGATAGGAACACTTGTATCCGCCCTGCTACGCACCGCCCTCCCCTAACCTAGAGTTAGGGTTTTACCCTAATTAGGGTTCCCCCCAATTAGGGTTTTAGGGTTTTGCGCGCTACCGCACGCCACCACGTCCGACTTCTCGAGGCAGAAAATTTTCCGTCGGTTTGTAGTCAGTTAAAAGTCGGGTTCCAATGCCGACTTCTGTTTCCCTTTTATTTTTATAAAAATACAAAGAAAACCACTAATTCCTCTTAATTTTCCCTTTTTTTTTTGTCTGTTGGCGGTCACCACTCGTCCAAACGGAGTCCGTTTTCCCCGACTAAGGTCTCAAAATGTCGGGAAAAATACGTGGACCAACTTTGGTCACGGCAGGGTTCACCTAATTTCGCTTCTTTTCTTCGTAATTAAAATAAAAGGAATTCATGATTTTCGGAATTTCAATTTGAAAAATACAAAAAAAATCCATATCTCTTTTTCTAGCCGTTAGAATTTCTCAAAAAACATCTCAAAACGTTCGCCTCGACGAGAGGTCGAACTTTGCACCCAGCGCGCCTTGCGTAAAAATGCGCGGATCGGGAGATATCGAAAAAAAAAACGAATTAAATATTTAAACTCATGATTTTGAGAATTTTTAATTAGAAAATACAAAACAATTCATATCTCTTTTTCTAACTGTTAGAATTTCTTAAAAAACATCTCTAAATGTTCGCCTCGACGAGAGGTCGAACTTTGCTCTCGGTGCGCCTCGCGCAAAACGTGCGGATCGGGAGATATCGAAAAAAACTAATTCAAAAAATATCAAAAAATAAAACTAATCAAGGAAATGGGTTAATTAGTGCTTGACTAATCAGCCCCTGCACCCTCGTTGGTTGGGGAAGGCCGCGGCCTTGGAGGTGCTGCTCCCCTCCCCGGCAACGGCGCCAAAGTTGTGGGGAAACCCGGGGAGGGGCGCCTATGGTTTGCTGAGGCCAGGGGCTACAACGCCTGTCACTCGTTGCGCCCGTTCAGAGGTCCTCGACGTTCAGTGGCTTTTCCGTGAACCGTGACTTCAGTCATGCAATCTCTTTTTGCGCTAACTTGCGCACTGCTGTTCCTTATTGCTGGAAACGATCAACTAATGGTTAAGACGATTTGCTCCGATCTTTGTCCAGGGCCCTGGTACTCAGCAAATGTGTCCGGAACTTTATGAATAAAAAAAAAAAAAGGCAATAAAATAAAAATAAAAATGAAAAGGGCCCTTCTTTGCTGTATGTTCACAGTCAGCCCGCTCGTTCGTACCCAAGTTCACATTATCCCGCCTGATCACTCTCTCTCTCTGAGCTCATTCCGCTGCCCCCGCTAGATAGCTGCTGGGAATTGACTTTAGATGAAATAAATAAAACAGCAACTGTTATTCGCGCTGGTCCAGTCCCTCCGATCAAAGTTTCACGTGAGTACCCTGGTGGACCATCCTGACTCGGTCCTACCTCCCACTTCCTTTTATGTTTGATCGGTGATGTATGCTTGAATGTCTGTTTAGCAAGTGTACCTGGACCTAGGGGTTTGCCCGATTCTCAGACCAACAACGGCGTTGGTTGGCTGTTCTGCAGAGGTGAAGTGACTGGTTCGTCGTAGGCGAGAACGCTCGAGTATCAGCTTGAACCGCAGAAAAGGTCCACAACACCCTCGATTGGTCGCTCTGCAGATGAGAAGTAGCCGACCCGCCAACAGCAGAATCGCTCAACTAGCTGTTCACTGAATTACATCGCTCCCTTCGGCAGTGGGATCACCTGATAGATCGTTTGAAGGGTACTGTTTCCACTTCCAGCGGATGTATTCGCGCCACTTATATGGGCATATCAATGCTCACAATTGCACTACGATGGAGCGGATAGATCAAGCCCCGAAAAGCTGCATGTATTCGCCTCAGTTATAAGGCAGATTAATGCTCCTGATCAGACAGGAGTTGAACTGCTATATCAAGCTTATCAGGGCGGATTAATACTCACAGTTGAACACCGATGGAACGGGCAGATCAAGCCCCGAAAAGCTGCATGTATGCGCCCCAGTTATCAGCGCAGATTCATGCACTCAA